TGTGTGTGTGTGTGTGTGTGTGTGTGTGTGTGTGTGTGTGTGTGTGTGTGTATACAAGGATTTTATATACAGAGAGCCTTGAAGACAGGGACGAGGGCGGTGATGCATATCTATGGTCCTAGCTTCTCAAGAGACTAAGGCTGAAATATGATTTTACCCAAAAATCGGAGGCCAGCCTGAGCAACATATCAAGACTCTGATTCAGTAAGAACAAATTTGGTGGAAGAGGGAACGGAAACACTGACCGGGGGAGGGGGGGGAATACATGCACGAGCCTATTCCTGAAAGCAAAGAAAAAAACCTGTTTAAGTTAATGAGCCCCAGGCTGAACGGCTCCAGGCTGGGATCCCTGAGCCTCCACTCGGCCTCTGCTGATCCCTAACATTCAAGCTACCCAATGGCATCACACGGGAAGCAGGCGTCAACTAGGCTCTCCCTTGACCGGTCACCAGGGGCAGAACCCAGATAAGTGGCTCTGGCACCTCTCAGCCTATGACCTAGGCCACCCCTTCCTAACTCGGCTGAAAGCCTTCAGAGGGCTTCGGAACCGTGCCTGAGTCTCCCGCCCTGGCCCGCCCTCGCTCAGCTCCCGGCCTGGCCGCCTCACAGGAACATGGATGGCCTCGGGCACCGGAGCAGCCCTGAGAGGAACGAGGGTCAGCAGCTCCCACGTGGGGGACACCGGACCATCCCACTGACCCGGTAGGCTTCCTTAATACCAGGCTGCTTGGCTGTGGTGGCTCCCTCGTCCACAGCCGTGGCCATGGTGGCGGCCTCAGCTTCGTGCGCCTGCGCGGAGCTGCCCGGCACGCGCAAGCCAGAAAGCGCGGGAACGCCAAGGTATCGGGACCAGACGGGAAGCCGTGAGGTTCAAATCTCGCCAAGTTTGCACTCCGCTCCCGTCCTCTGGATCCAGGGATGAGGTGGACCCAACTCTACCGAAGCTCTTTTGTGTTTCAAATTTGTCACTTGAAGGGCCTGAGAGACCGCCCAGAGGTTAAAAGCACTGGCTGCTCTTCCGGAGGTCCTTAGTTCAATTTCCAGCAACCACATGGTGGCTCAGAACCATCTAAAATGAGATCTGGTGCCCTCTTCTGGTGTGCAGGTGTACATGCAAACATACATTGTATACATAATAAATAAATAAATCCTTAAAAAAAAATTGTCACCTGCGAAGTGAGCCCTAGGCGTCAAGCAGAGTCTGTTCTTTCTTGTTTAGGGAGAGGATGCTACAATCAAACCCATACCCTTTTTGTGAGAAATTGCGCAGCTGCCAGCAGAGCCTCCTCCCTTGGCCCAAAGTATTTCTATGTCAAGGCATGCATCTTTGTATCCACAGAGGAGTTATTTTGGCCAGATAACTGAGAGTTTTGAAAAAAACCAAAGGTTGAAGCTAGATGTAACGATAAGCCTGTAATCCCAACACTTTGGTGGAAGCAGGCATTCAAGACCCATCTTGCTACTAGCAAGGGAGACTCTAACCTGGACTACATAGGGAAGAAAAAAAAATCAAAATAAAATGACCAAAGCTTGGAGGAATATTAGAATCTAATAATTCTAACATATGTATTAAACTAAAGTTAGCACAACCTTTAAGACTTTTTTTCATGTGGGATTAATATGTTCTCACTTGTGCTGAACACTTTTATGTGAACTTGACACATGCTAAAGTCATGAGAGGAGAGAAGCTCAATGGAGAAAATGCCTCCATAAAATCAGATTGTAGGCAGACCTGCAGGGCATTTTCTTAATTAGTGACTGATGGGGGAGGATCCAGACCGTTGTGTGTAGGGTCATCCCAGGGCTGGTGGTCCTGGGTTCTAGGCTGAGCAGGACATGAGGAGCAAGACACAATAAGCAGCACCCCTCCATGGCCTCTGTATCAGGTTCCTGCCCTGTTGGGGTGCTTATCCTGACTTCCTTTGATGATGAACAATAATAAAGAAGTGTAAGACAAACAAGCCCTTTCCTCCTCAACTTGCTTTTTGGCGGTGGTGTTTGATCGTAGCAATAGAACCCCTAAGACACCACTGCTAGAACTGTTTGTTTTGCATGCAGGAGGAGTTAAGGACAGAGCCAAGTTCTCTCTCTGGTAGATTCCCCAAATTTTCCCTAGCATTGCGCTGGGACAGCTGATTTCGCTCTACAATGGACATCCCTGCGCCTGACCCAGACGCTGTGACTATGGGTTTGCTGACTCCCCATTCAACAGCCTGCACCGGTCCCAAGATGCTACAGTAGGGAGGTGCTCTCTTGCCACTGCACACCCCTCAATCTGTCCCAAGATGCTGCGGAAATGGATTGCTCTCTCCACACCACACCCCTGCACGTTTTCTGTGTTCTCTCTCTCTCTCTCTCTCTCTTCCCTAAGATTTCCTCTACACCTCTGCACCAGCCCCAGGACGTTAAAGAGGGCGGATCATTCCCTCTATACTGTAATGCTGCGCCTACATCAGGACTCAAGGCATTATTCTGTGGGGAGCGAGGCGAGTGAGCAGTCGTCAGCCCAGGGCCGCCCGGATGAGAACCTTCTTTCTGGGTCTTAATTCTGCCCAGGGAAGCGGGCGGACTTCTGGACACTGGCTGTGTAGGGGTCGCAGGAGCGTCGCTCCTCAGACAGCCCTTTCTTAGCTGTGCTTAGACTACATCAAACCAGCGGTAGGCATCTTGCTGGCGGAGATCTGACCCCATATAATCTCCATGCCAACCACCCAGAACTCGGACTACCCACAGGACGTACTTCTGCAGCATTGCTGCAGGGTCTGCTCTCGCCGCGGCCACGCGGGCTTCCTGGGCGCGCGGCGGGCGACGCATCCGTGACGTCATCACCCGCGCGCCGCAGCCCGTGCGCAGGCGCAGTACAGACTGCTCGGCGACGAGGGGCACGCGCGCAGCCCTGGGATGCTGGAGCGGGTGCGATGGCTCCCGCCATGCAGTCGACCGAGTTCCAGTTCGCCCAGCGGCTGGCCTCCAGCGAGAAGGGTGTCCGCGACCGCGCCGTGAGGAAGCTGCGGCAGTATCTGAGCGCAAGGACGCAGAGCGACACAGGTGCGGGCCCAGGTCCGCCCCCACTGCGCGCGATGAGGGTCGCGCCGCTGGGCGCGGGTGGTGCGGCTACTGCGGGCTGTGCGGTGGAGCTCCAGGTCCAAACTCAGCACTGGCTCAGCTCGCCGAAGCTCGTTTGTGTTTCTCGTTTTCTTCCTTGGATAGTGCCCGCAGGCGTTGGGGTGCGGGAGGCAGCCAGTCTGCGGCAATGCTGTGTGAAGCGTGGGGGGAATGTAGGAATGCATGTACCAGTAGTGGGGGAAAGTGCAGGAGAAGGTCCCTCTAAAGGAAGCCTCCTGTGTTCTGTGAGATTTCGACAAGAGGAAGCCTGCGTGGCAGACGCAGGAAAGAGCTAAGTGTGCCCTGGGCCAGAGAAATCAGTAAGTTGCCGCGCAGGGCGTGTTGACATGAAGTTGGGCCTGGGAGCGGCGTGGCCAGAGCACTGGTTTCTTCATTTGGATTTTAAGTGCCTTGGAATGCAGTGCAAGAGTTTACTTACTTAAGTGATTTAAAATAGGTTCTCTCTTGAGTGAACGCAAGGTCTGGACGGCAGCCCGCTGTGGAGGTTTCAGGTTGCAGCCAGTTGCCTAAAGTTTGAGTTCCGTGTTGCTAAATCTGCTTAAAATTGTAACGTGGGAGAGATTGCTCAGCGGTTCGAGTCCCAGTACCCACATGGCAGCTCACAACCACTTCCTGGAAAAGAGTCACCCCCTTCTGACCTCCGCTGACACCGGGCGTGCACGTGGTGCACAGACGTAGAGGCAGGCCAAACACTCGTACACCTGAAATAAACTTTTTAAAAAATGGCTTTTGATTGAAATCTGCCCGGTATGATAACTCACACCATAAAGTCCGGCACTTGGAAGACTGAGGGCAGCCAGGGCCACAGGACAAGCAAGACTTTGTCTCCAAAAAAAAAAAAAAAAAGGAGGAGGAGACTTCTTGAGAAGTCTGATAGAGAAATAAAAACTAAAATAATAGACTTTTTAAATTATTATTATGGGGGCTGGAGAGATGGCTCAGAGGTTAAGAGCACTGTCTGCTCTTCCAGAGGTCCTGAGTTCAATTCCCAGCAACCACATGGTGGCTCACAACCATCTATAATGAAATTTGATGCCCTCTTCTGTCATGCAGATGTACACGCAAAATAGAGCACTCATATGTAAAATTTAAAAAAAATTATTATTATGGATGTGCCCTTGTGAGCATTCATGTGGATTAAGTTTCCAAAGTGGAATCTGGAGCTCAGACATGGGTAGTCACGCTTACTGGCTAAATTTCTGCTTAGTCCACTGAGCTGGCTTGGCAGCTGCACTTCCTCCCCACCCCCAACCCCCTTAACATTTCTGTTAAGGATTGCTCTATAAGCATTCAGTTTACTCTTATGTTTTCAGGTTTCCCATATACCTGTGCTGGTCATCCCCTAAACCTAACTTGCTGGCCCAGGTAGACTTTTGCTATCTTCCATTCAGATTAGTGCTGCTAGCCTGGTACTCCACCTGGCCATGCGTGCCTCAGAACCAAAAATGGAGTCTATGCTCCATCCCCCAAACACATACACACTAGCCTTCCATCCTGCCTGTCTGTCCTGAATTGCACTGCCTTAACCAAAGTTTCCTTTATCTTAGATTTCTGCCCCCTCTATTCCCTAACCTCCTTAATTCCATTGTGCCTCTTATAGTTTCGTTGGGGTTTTTGGTTGTTGTTTTGGCTGGTTGATTTTTTGTTTGTTTGTTTTTATTTTTCCTAGACAGGGCTTCTCTGTATAGTCCTGGCTGACCTAGAACTCATTCTGTAGACCCAGGCTGGCCTCAAACTCAGATCCGCCCTGCCTTTGTGTGCACCACCACTTCCCAGCTTGTTTGTTTGTTTTTTTGTTTTGTTTGGTTTGGTTTTTTGAGACAGGGTTTCTCTGTGTTACAGCCCTGGCTGTCCTGGAGACCAAGCTGATCCCAGATATCCACCTGCCTCTACCTCCTGAGTGCTGGGATTAAAGGCATTCACCTCCAAGATGAGCTTCCAGTGTGCCTCTTTAATCTTAATCTGCCCTCCACAAACCAACCCACATCATTTTCCTAAAACAGATCTCGTCTTACCACTGTTTCCCTGGAAGGTCACAGTCTGGCAGGATGTTCTCACCGGCTCTTCTAAGGCGTTAGTAGTCAGTAGAACCCTTGAAGGCTGATGGCATCAAGCATACTCTCTCACCTCCTTGCCTTTGCATTCCCGCATGTTCTGCAAAAGATTCTCCCCTTGCTTCTCTGGTAGCAGTATCACTTCCGAGAGGAACCCTATTGTAGAATCTCCCCACTTCCCTGTTACCTCAAGAATTATAAAACATGTGTCCCTTTTGTAATATACTTAGGTATATGGCGGGAAGAGGGGTGATTTATTTGTTTTAAGACAGAATTTCCTAAAGCCAGGCCTGTTCTCTACTAGCTAAGTAACTAAGAATGACCTTGCCCCCAGCGGTGTTTAGATAATTTTGTTTCTGAATTCTATGGCTTGTATTCTTCCCCCCCCCCCCCAACACTGTAACCTTCCGTTTGTTGTTTTAGCCATAGGTAAAAGCATGGGGCCTTAGGAGGACCTTCAGGAGACAAAAGCAAATAGGTATAATATATCTGGACCTGAGACAGCCAGGCAGCATGCTTCTCAGACCTCTTTGGAGAACAGGCCCAGGACTTGGAACACTGAGATGTCACAAGGGCCTGAAGCCATTGGCTCACACCAGTACCCCAGGGTCCTCCCTGGTTAACACAATCTGACCAGATTTGCTAATCTTGTTCCACTATTGCTCATCATAGCCAGTTTGTGCAATATAGTGGGCCTTCAAAAAAATAAAATAACTGTGGAGGGGCTGGAGAGATGGCTTATCGGGTTAGAGCATTTGTTCCTGCAGAGAACCAGAATTCTATTCCTAGTATCCATGTGGTGGCTCATAACCATCTATATAACTGCAGCTCCAGAGCATCTGACACCCTCTTCTAATCTCTGTAGTCAACACAGACACGTGGGGTACATGCATGCAAGTAGATACACATATGCAGAAAATAAACTAAAATGACTGTGTGGCTAGAACAGTGACTCTGTCAGCAATGTGCTTGTCATATGGCCGTGAGGACCTGAGTTCAGATGTTCAGCATCCACATAGGACCTGGAGTAGCCTTGATAGCTAGACAGTCTAGCCAAGTTGATAAGTTCAAGGTTCAGTGAGATTAACTGTCTCAGAAAATTAGCTTCAGAGCTATTGAGGAAAATACCTAACACTGGCTTCTGACCTATATACACGTGCCATGCAAATAAATAAAAATTGCAGAGTACATGTCTTAATAATCATGGGACAGTAGGGCTGGAGAGATGGCTCAGCAGTTAGGAGCACTGGCTGCTCTTCCAGAGGCCCTGGGTTCAATTCTTAGCACTTTCGCTGCAGCTCACAGCTGTCTGTAACCTCAGTTCCAGGGAAGCCAACACCCTCACACAGACATACATGCAGGCAAAACACCAGTATACATAATAAAAATTTTTTAAAGAAAACATTTGATAATAATCATGGGACAAGAAAACCAGAGTTTCTGGCACTGCTGTGCCACATCATAATAGAAGCACAAGTTACCTCACATTGGCATCTTGTTGGGAAAGCTGACTTCGATGCGTTTAGTCTTACGGAAACATAGCTGTCTGTCAGCAGCATAGACAGCACTATGGTCTTTACAGTCGTGAAACGTCACTGTGTTTTAGTTTATGGTAGCTCGTGAGCCCTGGTGTCATCATTCATAAATGCAGCAGATATTCATGAAGCACCGTGTCCTGATGTGTGCACCGTTCCTGGCAGAGGGAATACGGCAGTGAGCCAAGCAGGCAGCCCCTGCCTGTCTTAGCAGATCTCAGCCTTTTTTTTTTTTTTTTTTTTTTTTTTTTAGATCTCAGCCTTTAACATTTACTGAAGCTGTGGTGCATCTTAAAATCGAGGCAGTTTTGTTTGTGTCATCACTTCCTCTTCTTTTATTAGTGGTGTGAGTGTGTTCTCAGGAACACACGTTGTGGGGGATAGATGTGCCACTGTGCACGTTTGGAGGTCAGAAAACAAGTTTGTAGAGTCAGTTCTTTCCTTTCACTTTTACATAGGTTCAAAAGCTGGAATGATGGCCACCAGGTTTGTGTGGCACATGCCTTACCTGCCTTCCGAGCCATTTCCCCAGCCCCCAGCTTCCTCTTTGGCATAAAATGACTATTTATGGTCAGTAGTGGCTGAATCACTGTAGGGGAAGTAAGTGCCTTTCCTAAGGTTCTCTACCAGACAGTTATAGAGGAGTGTGTGTGTGTGTGTGTGTGTGTGTGTGTGTGTGTACATGTTTTGACTATGGGGTGTCTGGAATATGACACTGTCCCCATCTAGAATGGCCCCTGTGTTCGTTTCATGGAAAGAATTGCAGTTGGACCTTCTCATTTCAAAACTCAGTGGTACTTCCTATATCTTCACATCTTATATTCTTTCATATTCATGTCATTCTTTTTTAAATAGTGAAACTAAACTATTGTCAGAAGCTAGGCTATATAAAGATTTAAAGTCTGTCCCCTGAGAAGCCTGGTGGCACTCACCTTTACTCCCAGCTCTCAGGAAGCAGAGGCAGGCGGATCTCTGAATTCTGGAGGTCTGGGGACACAGTTCAAAGGTGGAACACTTAATGAACATGTGTGAGGCCCTGGCTCCGATCTCCAACATGGGGCGGTCATTGGGGAGACAGACCTGGAAATAGTATATGATGGGATGTTTAAGTGTGAAAGGTACAGGTCATGGTAACACATCTGATACATGTAGCCATGCTGTTCTGAGACACACGCAGTGGTGGTGCACTCGGCGGTGCCTTGCATTTCGGCATGGGCCTGGACCTTGGCTTCCAGACAGAGGACAGGGGTTCTGTTACTCTCGGGGCAGCCAGACCCATGTGCTAGGCAGGGGTGTGGAAAAGATTTTCCACAGAGTGTTTGAGTTTAGTTCTTTTAGCATGACATCGCAGGTGGCAGTGGAAGCTCAGGCATTCCAAAGCCTTTGGCGATACCAAAGTGTTGCAGCTCTTGGTTGGGTGCAGGCAGAAGTCCATGCCTGGTTGGCTGCAAGCTGAGGCACAGTCCCTTGAGGCAGGCCTTGAAGGTCACTGTGTAAGACTAAGATCTCTTTAGCAGGTGATGCATTTCTAAGAATTGCTAGATGCTTGCTGGAGCAGTTTCCTTATCAGGGAAGGGGATAGCCTGTAATCGGAGAGCTTTGTGATGCTTCTTACAAAACCCGGAGTCACCCAGATCAGGGGAGACTTAGAACCTTGCTGAGAAAAGGGAGTCTTAGGCCGAGCCCCATCAGACTATGAGACATCAGACTTTAGCCTTACCCAGCAGAGCCCCACAGTGCACGTAGAAAAGTTGTTCAGGGGTACATAGCAGGCGGGTCCCGGTGTCCTCTGGGGAGAAGCCAGTAAATTAGACATTGGTAATGACTTTTGAAACTTTGTGAATATTTTGCAAAGTGCATTGTCATTGAGCAGGCATTTGACCTGAGGTGGGATTGAAAGTTCGTTCACTACACACTTGGCAGGTAACTTAAGACTTCATTCACACTCCACCTGGCATCCATGCCACACATTTTAGGGGCAGGAAGATGCCCTTATGCAGCAGGCAGCCAGTGACACCAGAACCCCAGTTTCTCCGAAGAAACTTTGCTCCACTGGGCAGTCCTCAATCTTTCTCTCTTCCTCTGTGCGGGCAAGAAAGGCTTGTCTGCCAGGCATCCCTAGAGCCTGGGCAGAGGACTGTGTGAGGTTGACTGTCCTGTCTCTGGCTTGGCTTAAGCCCTCATTGCTAGCATACTCCTCTCCAAACCCCACCCCACTGCCACCCTCTACAGCCTTGCCCTGAAATCTAGTAGTTAGCTGTGAAGGGTCTAATGGTGCAGCTGGTAGACAGACCTGAAGTGCCCAGCCCTGGCCTCGTGTGGAACCTCAACCTTAATCCTCTGTGCTGTGGTTTATTAATGACCGTAGCTTTCCAGTCGCTTTATGGAGAGTTCTTCAGGCATCACTCAGAACACAAAGCCTGTGGTGGAACTTTGACAACCTCATGTGCTCCCCCCCCTCTCTTACTGAGTGTTTCCACTATTTGAAAAATACCCTCTTTTCATTAGTGTGGTAGTTCCCAGCACTTGAGCAGCTTATCTGATTGTCACTTCCCTAGCTGATCTTGGACCTCTCACCCTACTTTCACCTCACAGCATGTGGTCCCCAAAGGTAAGGGCTCTTCTGACAACCACAGCTCCATTCTTATACCATATAAAAGGTCCTAGCCAGGCCCAGCAGTATGTATCTGTTATCACAAGACCAGCCTGGGTGACCTAGCCTGGGAAAAATCACATCAGGAACTTACTCAAACTGCTGGATTTTTCTCACCATCTTTTATGTTTTTGTGTCAGTCCAAACAAGACACATTTGGCTGGCATATCTGCAGACTTAATTTCTAGGGGGCTCTTTATGTTTTTAGCCTACACTGTTTATTTGTTGTAGAATGTGGGTCATTTGTCTTGTAAGATGGCATACCTTAGTCTCGTTTAACATATGTATCTGACCCTACGTTTTCTATAATCTAGTACTCAGATGTACAAGTCAGATTTTTATAAGATTACTTAGACTGGTCTGTGTTTTTTTTGTTTTCCTGTGATAAGTTCCAACTTATGGTTTGGTGTGGTCTAAAGTCATTTCTGCAGTCACCAATCCTTAACCAGATCCACCAGTTCTCCGTGTGCTCTCTTGGAGCATGATCAAATATAGGAGCAGGTTACCATGACAAGAAAGGTTGTAGCTGCAGTTGGACAGGTACTAGGGGATGTGTGTCATGTTTACCTAATCAGAGGGGCCAGCAGGCACATCATCTGTGTGGCTCCCTAAGGAAGTGTGCTTTGGTTAGCTAACTTTACCGTGCTATCCTGGCGTTTGGATTTATGGATTGTTTGTTTGAGGCGGTCTTGCTACAAAGCCTCTGCTGGAACTCTGCATCTGTACTAGTATCAAAGGCATGTGCTACCACACCTGCCATCTTCATGGTAAGTAGAAAACTATCACAAAAGAATCAAGTGCAACATTATAAAAGTATTGAAAGGACAAAGACCTTTTCTTGAAAACATTTTTGGAGCAGGAAGGGGGCATGTGTGCATGCACTTGTAAAAGCCATAGGAGGTGAGGACGTTGGATAGCCTTCATGATCGCTCTTTATTCCCTTTTTATTCCCTTAAGAAAGGCCTCTCACTAAACCTGAAACTTAGTGTTTCTGCTAGGCTCGGTTGACCATTGGAGAACACAAGTGCACATAGCTTTTATGTGGAGCTGAAGATTCATGTTTGCATTGCAGGTGGACTCGCCTTACTTTGCCATCTCCCCAGCCCAGAGGCAGGTCTTTGGGCAGTTGGAAATCAGTCATAAAATACAACTGGCTCACTGAGTACACCACAGAAGCATTAGTCCATTACAAGGGCTCTTTGTCATTTTAAAGATATCTTTTAGAGTTAATAGCACACTGGTTTCAAATACATACGTGAATTATGTAAGGTGGAACATAGAGGCAGGAGGATCACAAGTATCAAGGCCAGTCTGAGATAAGTAGCAAGATCCTGTCTTTAAAAACCAAGTAAATGAACCAGCAAAAACCGAAACCTTGTTTTTATTTGTCTAGTTTCTCCCACTGTGCTGAAAAAATTTTTCCCGATGCTTCCTAAGCATACAGATAGAGACTGTGTGTGGCATGGCAGAGCCTAGAATGCTCCTTGTCTTCTAGCCTTATCATTCACAGTCATCTTTGCTTCCTGGCAGCAGGAGTGGGCTCAGGAGCTGCCAGCCATGAGCCTGGCAGCTCAGCAACAAGTGTTTGGGCAGAAGAATGACCCCTCCAGGGATGCCATTTAAAATAAGCTGAAATTGTTTTAGGAACTGCCCAGGAAATGTTAGCCTGCACAATCAAGATGGGAACGCAGCTGACTTTTGCCCATAGTCCATACTCTTTAGGGAACTGTCTTCCGGCTGGCCTAGTCGTCTGTCACTGGGAGTGGATCAGGAGCAACTGCCCTTACCATTTGCTAGGGGCACTTAGTGACCAGAGAAGCTTGCATCTTTTATAGGATTCATGGTTTTCTTTCATTAAGATTGGTGAAACTTCCTTTCTTCCTTGTTGGTTCAAGGGATGAATTCAAGGCCTTGTGTGTGGGTCACACTTGCTGATAAGGACTTGCCCCATTGTCAGCCTCCCTCGGCTGATAACAAACAACGCATGTGTGGTACCTCATAGGCTTGCTTGGAACATTAGCCGTTGGCATAAGGTGTACTTGAGGTTTAGGGAGAGGTGTGCAGAGGAAGGGGATGTATGTAGCACTTTTGCGACTGGTATAGCACTGTGAACATTAAGGAAAGAATATAGATTCTAAGGTGGTTGTGCCGTTTTCTCCTGCAGGAAGTTTCAGTCAGGAAGAACTCCTAAAAATATGGAAAGGACTCTTCTACTGCATGTGGGTACAGGACGAACCCCTTCTGCAGGTAACGCAGCCCCCTCATCATGTTCCTGGGCCTTTGCCACGGTGGATAAGAGGCTTGATCGTTTATGCTCCACCAATTTGCTGCCATCCCTAAACAGAAGGAAGTAAATGCTTCAAGGAGCCATTGTCTGAGCTCTTGTCCCCTCAGGAAGGGGCAGCAGACACTTAGGCTGTGCCTTCAGACATATCGGACACTCCTTAGTCATAGATTCCCTATTGCTCTCATCATTTCATAGCTTCCATGGTAGGTTTTGCATGACGTTTTTAACATTTCTGTTTTAACTTCTGTTGTTTATAATACATGGGCAGAAGCCCAGCAGGGGCCTAGTGTGTGTCCCACAGGGCCTAGTGCCAAGCAAGGCAGTCAATATCCTGCTGAATTTCAGTTTCCACAGAGTAAGCTAAAGCACCATGAGCTGCCCTAGTGACCAGAATGTACCGGCGAACTTTTTATCCCCGCCCACTGAGCCAGCCACCAATAGAAGAGTTTTGTTCTAATGTCTGAAACTAGACCTGCCTCAGTAGCAGGAGAGTACGGGTCACAACACACAAGCCACAGTGCAGAGTCGTCCTGGGTGGCGCTTACCTTGTTACTACTTTTCTCAGGATATGTAGTGACTTCTCTCAGTTCACTGTGTTGATACTACTGAACATATTTTGAGTGGGATAGCAGAGCAAAATACTGTAAAATTATATTCAGAAGTAGCAGCAAGCAGCTTTAGTGAAGGATGAGAACCAACAAAAAGGCACCTCGTTTTCAAGTCTTGGAGTTCGTTCAAGACGAATAAGGAGCTCTGGGCTTAGAAGTGAGCCAGTAAGAGTGCTCGTCCCCAGGTAGCTGGAAAAGAGAAGGCTTCTTCTCGGCTTGGCCACTTAGTTCTGCTAAGTGGAGTCTCCTGTGGCTCCACAGGCATCCTCTTGGGGGGAATTTTGCCCAAAGCACAACCTAGAGGGATCTGTTGGCTTTCTAGCCCTACTCTGGCCAGATCTAGTAGAAGACTGGGGTGAAAACCCCATTGTACAAGCACCAGCACGGCAGTGTTTTGCAGCATTTGGTATTCATAATAGATTCAGTTTGGTCCGTATGTTAAAGCTAGGGTAGGATATGGTAGTGCACACCTTTGGTCCCATTACTTGGAACTCAGAGGTAGAGGCAGCTGGATCTCTGTGAGTTCAAGGCCAGCCTGGTCTGCATAGTGAGTTTCAGAACAGCCGGGGATGTGTAGAGAAATCCTGTTTTTGTTTTTGATTTGTTTAAAAAAAAAAAAAAAAAAAAAAAAAGGCCAGGAATTGGGAATAAGAATATTTTTCTGGAATCATTGAACCTCTTACCAGAGACACTTTCTTGAACATACAGTTGTAGCATTTTTTCCAGAAACATGTCTCATTAGCCTAGTGCTTGTTGAGGTTTAGAGCTTCACATTTCATAAAACCCAGGGTGTCAGCCACAGACCTAGGACAAGAGGCACAGGCTTTTCCACCACCTAGGGAAGAGGATACAGCCCACAGCACCGCCATCAGTGTGACTACCTAATAACCGATGTTTCTCCCCAACCCACCTTGCAGGAGGAGCTAGCGAACATTATTTCCCAACTCATCCATGTTGTTAACAGCTCAGAGGCTCGTAAGTCCTGCCATTTTCCTGGCTTTCAGACTTCCTTGTTAGCAGGTTTGATAGCTTGCCTGGGGAACCTAGTTAGTGCTTTCCTAGAGTTTCGGTCTTCTGGGTATTAATGATAGGAGAGTCTCCTAGCATTGTATGGATGGCAGGTGCTATTCTTGTTTAAAGACTCAACTGCTAAGTAAACAGAGATCATTTGACATCTTGGAGCGTGATCAACTCTTCTCCCGAGTCTCCAAGTTCAGGTTGTTCTCACACTTACCAGCTGTGACACATATGCCGGAGTGTACAGTAATCTAGCTAAGATTAGAACTGTTGTGGCATAAACCACTGTAAGAAAGTGTAAGGTAACGCTTCTCTACCGAGAAGAAAAGATGGAGCTTGCTGAAGTTGGACAGCAGTTAGTTCTGTTTGGCATTCTCTGAAGTCTATCTTTCTTACAAGATGGAAAAGTCTACGTTGGTGTATAGTAAAGGTTTGCATTTATAAATACATTGTGCTGGGCATGGTGGCGCATGCCTATAATTCCAAGTCAGAAGGCTGAGGCAAGGGGTCCATGACTACCAGAGCACCTAGGTGGCAGCCAAACCCTACGTCAAAAGGAATGAGGGTATTCAAGTCAGTAATTAAGGAAAGATTTCTAGTTTTAAAGATTCTGAGGTTTAAATATCGTGTGCTGTGTCTCACCTAGCCAACACCTAACATCAGGAAAACCTGCATTTGTACATGAGTTATAAGGATGCTCATTAAGATTACTAGATTAGGACTGATTGTCGGGTGCAGGTGTGGTAGAACGGGCCACTAGGTACCTTCAGGGAACTCTTGAGAGGGGTGTGAATTGGAGGCAGATAAAGTCCAGTGTTATGGAGGCCATTCTGACTGAGCAGCTTATTATAATGTCTATATAGCTATAAAGGAAATCTCTGAACATATTTAGTTATTGGCCAAAGTCTACCTGTCCAAGCATTCTTGAGATAGATATGTAGAGGGAACTAGCTGTGTCCTCTGTCGCTTCCTTCTTGCTGTGTGGTCATGTGACAGCTGAGCACTGAGAGCCTCTTGTCCCTGCAGAACACCTGTTCATTCAGACCTTCTGGCAGACAATGAATCGAGAGTGGCAAGGCATAGACAAGCTGCAGCTGGACAAGTACTACATGGTAAGGCGGTGCTTCCCTCCACACTCACTTGAAGAATATACACAGAATGTTCTGTCTGAAGAGCAGCAGAGAGCTGCCTGCGGCTCAGTGGTAGTGCACTTTCCTGGCTTTTTTCTTTTTCTTTACTCCTTTTAAAGCTGAGTTGGAGTTTGATAAAAGTTTGTGTTTTGTTGTTGTTGTTGTTGTTGTTGTTTGCGGGGGCTGGGGTTGGTTGGTTGATTTGGGTTTTTTTCTCTATAGCTCTGGCTATCCTGAATTCACTCTGTAGACGAGGCTGACCTTGAGCTTAGAGATCTGCCTGCCTCTGTCTCCCAAGTGCTGGGATCAAAAGGGTGCGCCACCATCGTTGGGCTTGCTGGGAGATTTTATAGATTGTAAGCACTAGAGTTAACCAAAAGAAAGGCTGTTGAGAAAAAAAGTAAGCAACACCCAAGAACATGGGTGTGAGATTCTCTAGAGGGGAGTTGCCTGGCTGGCCTTTTTGAGACCTAGCTTCCATTGAAACACGAGAACGATGGAAAACCAGGCGTGGTGTGGCAGAATGCAGTGGTCTCGGGGCATGGAGTAAGTGCTGAAGATGCCTCTGTTCCTGTCTAAGCTGGTGGGCAGGAGAGCATTAGCATGTCTTGTTTGTTTTTCTTTCTGGAGGTTGTTGGGGCAGAGTCTCCATGTGGTACAGGCTGGTTTCTGGCCCTTGGGTCCAGGCAAGTACCACTGTCTGGCTCATTGTTGTTGATCCAGAATTTAAATAGACTTAGGGATGATGATCACTACTTTCTTCCTTTAGCTGATCCGCCTGGTCCTGAGGCAGTCCTTCGAGGTTCTCAAGCAGAATGCCTGGGAAGAAAGGTTGGTAAACTATTTACATTAACATGTGATGTTAAAAGCATGTCAGAGTTGCTAGGTGGCTCAGCAGTAGAACAGTTGCCTAATGGGTATGAGGCCCTGGTTTTGCTCTTTAGTGCCCCCCCCAAAAATCTTTGTAGAATAATAGGATCCTCCAAGATTTCAGGTAACCAGAAACATGAGTTGGCTGATCTGTGCCTACAACTATGTAGTGCTATGAGAAGCAGAATAAATCCTGATCCTAGCGTGTTTAAATACAGTGAAGGGCCTAAAAGAGTCAAGTAACAGATTGAATTAGCTTTCCCCCCCCCCCCTTTTTGGTTCTCATATTAACTGTTATGTAGTATGAGCAGTAAACCTTTTTTGTCTGCTATCTGAGAAGAGGGAGATATTGTGGATATCGCCTTTAAAAAAAACAACTGTGTGGTTGGTTTGTTTTCTGTTGTTCTTTAGCCAAATCAGACTTTTTCTGGACATCCTGATGAAGGAGATCCTGAGTCCCCAGAGTCAGTCTCCCGATGGCGTGAGATCCCACCTGATCGCTGTTTATTTGGATGAGCTTTCTACCGTGGGAGGGGGAGAGGTGAGAAGCGGCACTGCCTACCCGGCAGAACCACTGTGCTCAGGGGGTTGCTATGGGGACTGTTGGAAAGAGCAGCCTTGCTGCATCTTCTCCTCTCCCGTGACTGTGTCCCAGGCAGCCAGTTCGAAGAACTGCTCGCTGTCCATGTGTCCAGCAGTCTTGCCTGTAAAGTAGGGCGGAACCACACACAGCTGCTGGAGAGGCTGAGGCAGGAGTGAGATACGTGTCTGTATCTCATCACTGAAGTACATCAGTCTCGAATTCCAGGGCAGCCTGTGCTACATAGCAAGACCCTGCCTCCTCCCCTTGCAGAGTTGAAAACAATTTATAGAGACCTATAGGGAAAAAAGCAGTTTATATTGAGTATTTCCAAAGCTGTGTGGGAAAGGCGGTAGACAACGCTATATAGATTATACCCGATATAAATAGATAAAAGGCTGGAAAGAAAAAGCACACGTTTAGATACAGATGATTTTCTCAGTTTGGGAATATAAGCAGTTTTTACTATTCTCTTTGACATTCTCTAGTGAATGTTTTATAAATAAGTAATATATATTTGTTATATTTTTAAGAAAGGGGCAATACATGTACATATACCCTGAATCAATAAACAAAATTTAAAAATAAAGAATGCCTTTGTCTCATGCTCTGAGATGGCATCCACGTAGAACTCATACTTTTTTTTTTTTTTTTTTTGCAATCCTGGAGCTAGCCAGGGCCTTCTGCTAGGCAGGTGCCACACCCAGCTGTCTCAGGAGACATGAGTGCTGCGGTTTAGCCTGAACAGTTGGTGGTTCTTCGGGTCACTGCACTAAGACACACAGAAGACCACAGAGAGGCTGGCTCGGGTTGCTGGGCAGTTCCTGCGGTGTGTCTGGGACTGCCCGTGACAGGCATGGATACAGCTGATCTGACCTGTGAGGGACAGGTGCGTCCTCTTCTAGAAGATGTCAGAAGAGAGAAAAGCCTGTCTTTCCCTCATTTTCCCTCTATTTTATGTCTAAATTACAGCTTTTAGCGGATCAGAACCTCAAGTTAATTGATCCATTCTGCAGAATTGCTGCCGAGACTAAGGAGTAAGTGGCTCACGTGTTCTCACTGCTTTCGTTGGTGCCTGAGGGTGGGGTTCTGTTGTACTGCACAATGCCAGGCAACTGTCTAGAGTAAGGAGCACCTGTTCCTAATGCCCCTCCCAGGCCTGAGGCCAGGCCAGCCCAGGCTATGAGAGATCCTGCTCGGAAGGAAGAAAGGAAGGAAGCAGAGGTTCTGGTCCTGTTCCTGCGATTGACTGGCCGCTCCAGGACACTCTCTCACATCAGATTCCCGCCTTCTGTCTGTCTGTCCTGTGGCACGTGGTGGTTTTTTTTTTGAATCTCCAGTGGGCCTGCTTCAGGAATGTCTTTGAGTCCCTGCTGACCAGTTGGTGGGCACACCAGGCCCCAGGCAGGCACAGGCACAGCACACACTTACCTGAGCTGTCCTCAGCTACGCTCATTTTCTGCCCAGGCTCCAGACTGAGTGTTTTAATCCCGTTCTCTCCGCTGTGCTTCCGCCCTCAGCCACACACTGGTACAGACTGTAGCTAGGGGTGTTTTTGAAGTCATTGTAGATCAGTCTGCTTTTGTACCTGAAGAGACTGTGGAAGAACAGAAAACCAAACTGGCTGATGTTGGCCTCCGTGGAGAAGAGATCCCTGCAAACAAGACGGCCTGTAGAAAAGCAGTCAGTGGGAAGAAGGCTGGTGAGAGCCTTTGCTTTTATGTTCTTTCTGAGGGGGTTGTCTGGCTGGTTAGGTTTTGCTTGCTTGTTTGTAGATAGTGGTTTTGTCTGTGTATGTACACGCATGTACACTTTCATGTGGAGGCCGGATGTCAGCACTGAGTCACTCCTCAGGTCTCATCCACCTCTTATTTTGAGATGGGGTTCCTCGTTGGTCTAGAAGATGCCTAATTAGGCTACACTGGTTGGCCAGTGAGTCCCAGGGTCCAATCTGTTTTCACCTTCCCTGTGCTAAGCTTACAAGCCCTTCCTGCCATGCCCAATCCATATGGATTCTGAGGGTTGAACCCAAGCCCTTGTACTTGTGTGTCATAAACTTGCCTGACTAAGCATTTTGTTGGCCTCTCAATGAATATAGCCTTCCCCAAAAAAAGGAAGCAGGGTACATAAGAGACACATGTGCACAGCCAGGGCCCCCGGAGAGAAACCCAACACCACTCAACATTTGGCCCAATTGATTCTATCCCTCCTTTTCTATAAAGTGTTTGGCCCATGCTTGTGAGAGCTGCCCTGCAGTCAAGATCACACACTATTTCTGTTGCTCCCCACTGACACACAGCTTTCTTCTGGGAGTCTTTAGTTCTTTGTTTGTTTGAGGGTTGTTCAGTATGGCACTGGTACTGGGGATAAAATCCGGAGCTTTACCTTTTTAGTAGACTAATCCCATCTGTCTCCCCAAACAGCAGTCACTGGTATACTGTTCTTATTTTTCTCCCCGGTAATGGGGATTGAGCCCAGAGCCTGGAGGGACTGGGCCACATCTATTCTTAAATATCAAGATTTTGTCTTTGTCTCTGGGTGTTTTGGCAGCACTAGGTGAATGCCTCGAAGATAGAGTCATTGGCAGCAGAGAAAGAGACAGCTGTGCAGCCTTGAAGGATTCGTGCTCACCGCTCCAGGTGGGGGCAGCTTTTGCTTTTTATAGAATGGGTTGACCTAGGGTGGCTTGGCTGGAGAATTAGGGTCAGAGCTCATTAAGCCACAGAGCCTGAAATGTAAAGTCCTTTATAATCCCTTCTGTAATTAATGTCACCATTCTTGGAATGAGCTTGTGCGGACAAATTTGAAAGAGTGGAGTTTTAGGCTGACATGATATTGCATACATGGAATCTCAAGATCTAGGAGGGTCTCAAATTCAAGACCAGCCTGGGCTATCTAGTAACCTCCTGTTTCAAAAAAAGAAAAAGAAGCCAAGCATGGTGATACAAACCTTTAATCCCAGCACTCAGGAGACAGAGGTAGGCAAGTCTCTTTGAGTTCAAGGGCAGTCTGGGCTACATAGAGAGATCCTGTCTCAAAACTAAACAATGAAAAGCACATGAGGTGGGATTTTGAAAGACATTAGTCCTCATTTTCTAATCACTGTTGTCTGCTTCCCTTTGTGCAGCAGCACCGGCCCTCGTGGTACTTTTCCAGGGGTTGTTTTGGTTTTCCAGCAGGATCTTGCTATAGTCTAGGCTGAAGTGGGGCTGACAGAAATCCTTCTGACCCTCAGTGTCCCCAATATAAAGCTGGGTACCATCATTCCAGGCTTCCAGTTTTGAGTTTTGGTTGGTTGGCTGGTTACAGGGTCTCACTATGTAGTCCTGGCTATCCTGGAACTGCTTTGTAGACCAGGCTGGCCTTGAACTCCCAAAGATCCACATACCTCTGCCTCCCAGGTGCAGAGATTAAAGTCATGTGCCATCTCTCTCACACACACACAGGGTTGTACTTTGAAAACGTAAGACTATTACAGCTTCTAAGATTGAGAATCCAGGATAAACATAAAAGAGTAGCTCACCAGGCAAATTTTGCTCTGTGTTTGAGACCACAGTTTGGAGAAGATTGCTCCCAAGATCACCTAGAAGGTAAATGTTTTGCCACCGCTCATGTTTCCTGTCTCTTCTTGGTAGTTTGACTATAGGGCTATTGCTGATAGACTCCTGGAAATAGCCAACTTGAAGAGCACACCTCCATTCAACCGGAAGCGCCTCTGCAAACTGATCAGAAAGTAAGCAGCAAGGGAGAGCCCATGGCCACATGCTTCTTTTAAGTGTATGTGTTGGGAGTGGGAGTGGGAGCAGGGGGTACCTGCAGCAGCCAGAAGAGAGTGGTCCCATGGAATTGGAGTTACAGGCAACTGTGGGGCACCCAGTGGGGGTCAGCTTTCAATATTTGGTCTGGTGCATAAAGAGAACTCTACTAGGCCAGTCTCCTCTGGACATAGCAGCAGTTGAGCCATCTTCTGAAAAAAGTGAGAAAGACATTGGATCCCTCGGTATTTTGTGTGCCGAGTGACATTTTCTAGCCACTGTGTCCCATGTAGTGTTGGTAGAGTTGGGGGTGTCTTTGTCCTAGGTTTCTTCCTTCCTGGCTTACCACATCTCTGGGTGGAGCTATTCACTAGCCTCCCTGTAGAGGGCAGGGCGAGGAATGTGTGTTCATGTTCCTGCTGTATGTTCAGACTGAGTCCTGAACTCTGAACTTCCATGTGTTCTTTCTCTTTTTCAGGTTCCAGGAACTCTCTGAAGGTAAGAAGAGGTAGACTGTAAGTCAGGGAGTTCTCACTCTCTACACACCCACAAGGCCATCCCTGACAGATTCTGAGACGTGGCATTGCAGCCTTCTTGGGAAGTGACTTATGGGGTGGCTGCCCTCATCTAGGTTCACCCGGCATCCCTAAATGAATGAATGCCTTGGGAAATGCCCCAGGAACAAAACCCTTTGCACCCACTTTCCATCCATCCGGTGCCTCCTAAGTGTGGGTAATGTGGTATTTATTTGAATTTTTATTGGTGTTTTCGACAGTTAAATTTTTAATGGGGAAAGGGAAGGCAGAAGAGGTGGTTCGGTGGCCAAGAGTACTAGCTACCCTTCTAGAGGACGCAGGTTCAATTCCAGAACCCACATGGTAGCTCACAACCATCTTTAACTGCACATCCAGGACAACCAGTCAGTACCCTCTTCTGGCCTCTGTGGACACCAGGTATACACGTGATACATACCATACATGCAAGCAAAACACCCATATGGATTTTTTTTTTTTTTTTTTTTTTTTTAATAACGGGCTAGGAAGATTACAATCCTTTGTCAAGAAGAAAATCCTGGTTTCTCAAGACTTTTAATTTTCTTTAGGATACATGTCCCCAGGGTAAGCTGCTGTAAGCTTGGTTAAACCTGAGCAGGCCAGTGAGCCAGCTCTCCTGTTCCCCGTGCACTGGGTAGGCTCGCAGAGCCGGAGGGAATGTAAAGCACTAGCCTGAGAAGCCCACCAGCCACTGTCCAGTGTGCATTCTGGGCAGGAGCCTTTGAGTTAGGTTGGGAAAGCAGGTGGTAGGACAGGTGATGAAGCAGAAGTCAGGCTCAGGAGTCCTAGCCGGATGGCTTGTGGGGAGGGCCCAGGACCTTGGCTGCCTCAACAAATACTAAAAGGACTTGGAAGCTAACCAGTGAAACTTTGGCACCTACAGGCAATAGTGCTCAACTTAGTCTTGCTGAGGACATATCTACTGATGAAAACGGTCAAGCCCTCAATCAGAGAAGGCACAAGAAGAAAAGAAAGAAGCTTGTAGAGAGCTCCGCCTTGGAAGGGGAGAAAGGTAAGCTGCAAAGCCTTAAGTCTCAGAGCTGAAGAAGGCTCACCTCTTACTCACATCCAGGTAACTGTGCCCTTGAGGTCTGGGGTCTTGTGAGCCAGTGTTCTCATGAATCATTGGCATAGCAAAAAGTCTGAGTTTGTGTTTTGGACTTTGGGAAAGGGGAGGTTTGTTCTTTGAAATAGTAGCCCAGGTTTGCCTCAAACATCTGCCTCTGTCTCCAGAGTACAGGTAGCACCACACCCACAGATTGGGGAGGGTTCTGTTACTTTCTGGGCAGCATTGCTCTCATTTCGCGTGTGCAGAGGCATGTGCTCTTGGACAGCAGCGATAGGTGGCACAGGGAAAGAATAAAGTTACAAGCACTATCTTTTGGGAGTGATTACATTCCTAATTTTGTGTGTGTGTCTGCCTATGGCTTCTGACTTTAAAATTATTGGAAACCTGGGCTAGCAAGGTGGCTCAGCAGATAAAGACACTTACTGCCAACCCTAATAGGCTCAGGACCCACATGGCAGGAGATGGCTGGCTTTTTTATTTTATCTTATTCATTTGTTTGTTTAATAACCAGGAGCTGGGGACATAACTCAGTGGTTAAGAAACACTGGCAGAGAACAAGTTCAATTCCCAATACCGGCATGTCAGTTTAGAACTGTCAGTAACTCCAGTTCCGGGAGGGGGGGTAGCGCATTCAGTACCTTTTTCTGGCCCCTACAAGCAGTACACACACATGTGAAAATAACTTTGAAAAGTATATAAAAATAATGATTGAAAAGCTTGTCATATACTCATTTCTACTGAGATACTTGAGGAAGTTTTCTGGCCACAGAAAAGGGAAGTGGGACTAGTTAACAAAGCTAGTGGTGGTCGGAGCCTTTCTTAGCACATGTCTGGCACTAGGTACTGTCCCCAGCGCCACAAGAAAGTAGTCTCAGCTGTACATATATAATCTCAGCAGTCAGGAACCTAAGGACGATTGCACAGGTGAGGCCAGCTTGGGCTACTGTGATCTGACAAGAAGTAACTTAAGTGAGGAAGAGTGTGTTTGGGCGGATGGATTAGGGTTCAGGCGGTCATGGTGGGGAAGGCATGGCAGCAGGAGCATGAAGCAGCTTCCTTGTGACTGGGCAAACCAGGAGGCAGAGAGGACCCAGGAAGCGATAGGATCAGACTGTAAATCTCAAGGACTTCCCCCAATGAGGCCTGCCTCCCAGAGATTCTGCAGCCTCCCCAAATAGAGGGCCAAGTGATCAAACACATGTGCCTAATGTGTGAGCAGTTGCACTCAGGTTCCCCAACACCAAGGCCAGGGGTTGACATCAGGTGTCTTCCTCCATTGTGACAGAATCACTCACTTGCCTAGCACTCTGCAGCTTGGCTAGGCTGACAAGCCATTGAGCTTCAGGGATCCACCTGTTCTGCCCTGGACTCTCGCACACCACATCCCCAGCACTTGGGTTACAGGTGCGTGTCGCCACACTTAGCTTTTTATGTGGGTGGGGAGACAAACTCAAGTCCTCATTCATTGACAGCAAGCGCTTTATCTGCTGAGCCCTCTGCCCAGCCTGCTTTACCAGCTCTATGGTGAGACCTTCTCTCTAAAGGAGTGTGCTGTGATACTAAACACCTATACTTTTATCGCTCACGAAAGGTAGGCCTGAGGACCAGGAGTTCCTACAGCAGCCTTGGCTCTGTATTTGAGGCCAGTCTGAGCTACCTGAGACCCTATTGCAAAAAACAAATAAAACCCTGGCTGCCTGCCATCCCAGGAGTCACCAACAGGGCCAACCTGCTCATTGGTTTACATTTTTGTAGGAAACACGGTCTTTCCTGGTGAAGAGATCAGTGGAGGCCACATTCACAAGAGGAAAAGAAAAAAGAAGAAGAGGAGCCACTTCCAGTCTGAGACTCAGTGCCTGGATGCTGCTGCCATGCCCCCAGCACAAAGTGCTGCCAGTGGACCTGGTACCGCCCAGAGGCAGGCCTCACAGGCATGTGTGACTGCACCTGCGGCAGAGGCCTTACCTAGCACCGGGGAGAACAGTTCCGAGCCCATGCCCATTACGCCCACACACAACAAAAAGAAACGGCCAAGAAAGAAGAGTCTGAGGGCCCACAGAGAAACCAGGAAGTCCACCACTTTACCTCAGGAGGGCGTGTCAGAGAATGACCCTGTCGTTGGGCATCCTCAGAACTCTGCTGCCCAGAGTTCTTCCTCAGGAGGCGTTCAAGCCCAGAAGAGAAAACGGAAACTCGGAGCTCTCCTTGTTAGCAGTGGTGGCCTGACCGTGCAGAAGGCAGGTATCCCAACAAGCCCAATAGAAGGGAAAGATGACCAGACCACCCTGCCCCAGTGTAAGACACCACAAAAGAAGAGAGCCTCTAGCAGCCTTGACCTCTGTGATACGTCCAGTCAAAAAACAGCAATCTTAAAAAAGAGGAAAAAGATGAAACATATGTCAAACTTGACAGAGCACAACGGAGTGGTGGAGTCCAGCACCAGGCCGATCCAAGCTCTGGTAAGGTGGGAGGGGCCCGGAGCATGGGTGCTGGGCTTCAGTAGGTGCTCAGAGGACTCGGCTGTCTGCTAGGACATGGGGACAGCCACACCTCAATGAAGCCACAGTTTGAATACATATACTTTATACACAGCACTCACCAGCAAGCAAATGGCAGAGTCCTGTCTCAGCAGCCAAGTGTAGGTGCTCCGTTCAACACCATTACTCCCCACCTCTTCCCTCACAGACCTGATATCCCATCAGGTCTAAAAGGGGTAAACATGGAGCTAAAAGATGTCAGAGTCAGCCCCCCGCTCCCCCAGAGCTGTCCTTGTCCACTGCCCCTGCCCACCCAGCCCCTGCAACAAAGAGGAAGCCTGGAGCTCTTACACTTCCAGGTTAATGAAAGGCTGTTCTTTCTCTGTGGACTCTTAGAGCTGTACAAGGACGCAGACTCTTGCCTTGTGCCATGCCTAGGCCTCTGCATGCCACACTACGTGCTCACTCATTGCTGTGGCCTACCAAGCCACCAGGAAAGTGACCCCCTGGCTTTACACTGAGTCATCTGACCCTTGTTCGGCACCAGTGCTTGTACATAACTGCTTTACAGTACCTGTGACCTTGAAGCTCATCTCAGGCCACGTGAGTTCATGGACAGTAAAGGATTATTGAAGGAGAGCAGAGCACTGGCTGGTCTTGAGACATCATCTCAGCCTCTAGTCTTGCCCTGGTAGAGGCACCTCTTTACTTCATAGCCTGTTTCTCAGGCCCTTGGCAACCGGTATTGGAATCGGGATGATTGCTTACTAGTTGGGGTCTAAGGAGGTCACTGCTCTCTGCTCTTGGGCTGGGGTTGCTTTGGGCCATGCCAAAAGAAGGCATTAAGCTTCAGCAAGGAGGTGCCTTGCTCCAGCCAAACAGCCCACATGGTGGTTTCACACTCAGATGTCGAGACCCCCGAGCTGGAACCATGTAGCAGCTTTGTCCTCCACAGCAGACTTGCAGCCTACGTAGTGTCTGGTCACAAATAGAAAAGTGAGTTCACACTTAACAGGTGGACCTTGAAAAGAAAAATTATTCAAACTGTAGGACCTATGTTAGAACATTAAAAGGGGGGCGCTTTTTTAACTGCTGAGAAGATGTGATCCCTGCTGGCACAGTGCCAAGAAGTGAAGGCTGTGCTCTACTGGGCAGGAAGGTTCCTGGCAAAGCTGACACAAGAAACAGTGGGCTGTGGGCTAAGAGGCTCAGGGTGGGTCAGCCTCCGGGCACTTCCTTGCTGTGCTGTTTCCCTATGGGTGTGAGCCTGGCAAGGTGCCTGAGATTCGATTCTCCCTTTCTCATCCTTCTCATAGGGAAGCAACAGGACTCTGAAGAAGCCTCTGAAGACGGAGCGCGACTTTGTGAAGTTTGACACCAACTTCTTACCAAAGCCCCTGTTCTTCAGGAAAGGAAAGAACAGCCCCGCCACCCGTCCCCAAGGTCCTGCTGTCCAGGTGAGACCTCCACAAAACACGCAGATGGTGTGCTGAGCTCTTGGGGTGCAGGCGATGCATTCCCTCTGCCACAACAGGGATTGGGCCTGGCAGAGCCCAGCTTCCTCCTGACTGCCTGCACATGGATGCACAGCTGGAATAAGGTAGCAGCACGCACGCTTGAGAGAGGCACAGGGTTCGAGGAAGGGCTCAGCCAGAGCTTTTGTAATGCAAGATTGGTTGGCTTCTAGGAACCTCTCAGGTACAAAGGCATCATTAATTCTGATAGACTGTTGCGATAGCTGGATAATTTGAAGTCCATTGCATGAAATGTTGGGAATTTTGATCTATGGTGGGGTCACAGTGGTAGATATTTATTTCCTTGGCATGTATTAAGGCCTTGGGTGCCATCTCCAGCAAAGATTTGTGTCTTATTACCCATTGAAATAGACCACATTTTAAGTCTAATCAAATCAGTTGTATGTGAGCTTCAAGATGTAGCTTAGAAATTTCCAGCCTGGGGCTGGAGAAATGGCTCAGGGGTTAAGAGCACTGGCTGCTCTTTCATAGGTCCTGAGTTCAATTCCCAGTAACCACCTGGTGGCTCATAACCATCTATAATGAAATCTGGTGCCGCCTTCTGGTGTGCAGGCATACGTGCAGGCAGAACACCAAATACAAAATAAATAAAAACTCTTCAAAAGCAAAAAAAGAAATTTCAGGCATGCTATGTGGCTTAGCTGGTAAAAGTGCTTGCCCCCCAGGTCTGACAATCTGAGTTTAGTCCCCAGAACCCAATGTAGAAGGAGAGAAGTGACGTCTGAAAGCTGTCCTCTGATGGCCACATACACCATATGTACTAATAATGAATAATGTTTAAACTTCTGAGACAGAGTAATTGGTTGTTATTAATACATATCCTTACAATTTGGAGTGATAAATTTGGGACTCTGAACATCCTTCTTTGGTGCTTTTCACTGGGAATGTAGTGTCCAGTTTGGGAAATCTGTGCACATGTAAAAGTGGTTTGTGAAGGTCAAGGGAGTCCATTTCAGCTGCGGCATGCTGCCCCCATTAGCCTTTGTGTGTGTGCAGGTCAGGAAACAGACTGCAAGGGCCTTCTGGGTAAGTTCTTCAGAAAATTCCCAGGAAGGGAGGCTGAGCACCTGTGTTACCATGGTTACTCCTTTGTTGTTCTGCAGCTGAATAAAACGCCCTCCAGTTCCAAGAAAGTCACCTTTGGGTTGAACAGAAACATGACTGCAGGTGAGTGGGTGGCTTCTGGGAAACTTCCTTGAGACCAACCAGCTAGAGCTGGCTCAGGGTTCTCTGGCAGCCAGAGGTCCTCATCTCCCTGTCTACTCCCATGTCAGTGAAGGAGGGGAGAGATTTCAGAAAGATAGGTAGGTAGGTGTTTGGGGTTTTTTTGGTTGGTTGGTTGGTTGGTTTTTGAGACAGTATCTCAGTGTGTGTGTGTGTGGCTCCACCTGGCCTAGAATTCACAGAGATCCACCACCTCTGCCTACCTCCCCAGTGCCGAGGTTAAAAGCACATAAGACCACACCCCACTATTTTTAAGTTTAATAAGTTTAAAACCTTACTTGTGTGGACAGTAGGAGAATGTGAACATGCACAGCTTCGTTCACATGAGTGAGCATGCACAGGTTTGCAGAGAGAGCAGAGGGTGCAGGAGAATGTACCTCAAGCTAAACAGCCTGACCTGTAGCACAGGAGCTGAAGACAGGCCTCAGGCAGCTGGCTGTCACTACTGCCTACACACACATCTCATCCCACAGCAAACCCCAGGACCCACCACCTGGAACTTGCTCCCCTCAGTGTATCTAGGTGTCTTCTGTGTTTCTGGGGACTGGGGAATATGAGTCATGAACACTGCATACCTGGAAGGAACAGACACGGCACCAAGCTAATAGCCTTTACTTTCCTTTGGGACAGAATTTAAGAAGACAGACAAGAGTATCCTGGTCAGTCCCACAGGCCTTTCCAGAGTGGCCTTTAACCCTGAACAGAGGCCACTCCACGGAGTGCTGAAGACCCCCACCAGCTCCCCGGCCAGCACTCCTCCGTCAACCATGAAGCTACCAGTCATCACCCCAAAGAGAAGGCCAAGGGCTGCAGACTTCTTCTGAGAGCCAGAGACCCTTTTTAAAGACTGCTTTTATACTGGATATTGTATAAATTATAACTTTTAAATGTGGGCTTTTTAAGAATTTTACAAATCCCCATGAATGGGGCAGATATCCTGAACCTGAGCTGCTGTCCCCATCCGTCCTGCCAGGGCTGTGGGCCCTCGTTCTTGTCTGAGTCCATGCACACACTCAGCAGCAGGACTGAGTGCTGTTGGTATGTGGAGGCCCCTCCTAGGTGCCCATTGCTGCACCTGCCACAGTACGTTGCCTTTCTGGTTATTTGTTATCTCAGTCTGTCTCCTTGTGAAAGCACGTCAGCTTCAGGCCCGTTCTGTGGGTACTTGGCTGTTTCCCCAGCGATGGCTCTTGGACCCAAATAAGCAATAGTGTAGCTTTTCTACATGTGACCAGCAGGGGAGTGGACAGCTCTGGGGTAGGGAAAAGCCACTCGTCCATAAGGCTTTTTCTCCTCTGCCCAGCCTGTTCCTGTCCCTGTCTTCTACCTCTATAGCAAGCCCAAAGTGTCTTTTCAGGAGGGTCAGTCCTGTCCCTGTCCCCTTCCCCCAAGGCTGTGGCCCACATTAGCACACTGCTTTCCAGGCCTTGGGCACAGTTCTTACGCCCAGTGAGTCCCAGGCCTTCCTGACCACACCTGCTTTTTTCCCTCAAGGTTTGCACCAGTGTTGTCTGGACCCCAGGCTTTTGCCTGAACAGGAAGTTGGCCTCCCGGGAGTACATGCACTCAATGCGCCTGTTCCCTCAGTCCACGGGGTTTTTACAGCTCTTCCAGCTTGAGCTGGAATCAAATCAGGGAGATGCTCAGACTTCACTAAAACAAAGCCTGCACAGCAGTTGTACCTGGGGCTAAGGGGTGGAGAGGCTTGAGCACAGCAGGCAGTTTTACAATTAGGAGCTACAGGCTTGACAGGGCAGGACCTGGGGCCCTGGCTCTCGAGCGCTCAAAGCACACTGTCAGCCTGCTATGCGCAGGCTACCCCCAGCTACCTCCTGCTCTGTGCACCCTGTGAAGGAGCCCCAGTTTCACACTGCTGCTCCCCGGTAGACTGCCACCGGGATGGCAGTTCGTGTGCACGCCTCTGGCTTCGCTCCACACAGCCAAGGGGTCCGCCTCGTGCTGGACCAGCTGACCCCTGAATGGCATTCCCAGTAGGAATGAAGCGGTGACTCTGCCCGTTCAGTAATAAAGTGTATCATTAGGCCATGAGAATGAAGATATTCTGCTGTTGTCACAATAGGTCATGTGCAGCGTAACTTGTGGATGCATGGTTACAATGTGCCGAGTTTGACAGTCACATTCAAAACTAGAGCCTGTGTGGAGAAGGTCAGGGTGAAGGCAGCATATGCTGTTAGCCCAACGATCTTCTTTTCTGTTTTAAAGATAGCATATACAGCCAAGTGGGTCATGTGGTCCGGTGGTGTGGGACGAGTCACCAGGCAGCAGTGGTAGAAGCATCCTCACATCAATTCCCCACTAGCTACCCATCCTCAGGGACCAGTGAGTGTCCTTGGAAGCAGGTCTCCTGCCGAAATTGCCCCCAGGGCAGACGGCAACCTCTTGAGTGCTGCATTTATAGTGGGCACAACTGTGCCTGGCAGGAAAGAGTTTGGGTTTTACTTCTCATGTGCACAACCTAGGGAGGCTCTTGTCACATAAAGGAACGCGTTTATAATGCCGTCTTCGTCCTTGATGCGTATTATTTCCTCAAGTAAAATTGCTGCCAGATCTGGAAGTCCGGAGAAGTAAAGCTTAGCCCTGGCAACATGAATAGTGTTTGGGAAAATGATTGTCTCCATCCTGAGTAGTGTAGATACAGTCAGTTTTGCACAATTTGGTTTCAAACTTTTAAGTCTTATTTTTTATCCCGACTCATCCTCACTAGTGCTGGGACACAATCACCTTCCCCACCTACCCACCCCCCTAACTGATGCACAAGGAGCATGGCAGAGGCAAGGCTGTTGCCTTCCTGGGAAGTGAGTCTGTTTTTGCTGGACCACGTGACTGCCCGCTGTGCTGTTTGTTTATGGTCAAATTGTGTTAGCGTCACCAGGGCTTGTCGGTACAAATCAAAGCCAAGACCAATTAAAAGAAGTATGTTTTTATCCTCGAGTTTGTCTTTGATGCTGACTTAGTGTGTACAAAAATAGACCTCTCTGGGAATGACTTAGTGTGACTTAGTGTGTACAAAAATAGACCTCTCTGGGAATGTCACGGTCTAGAAAATCCAGGCATCTGCTGTGTTTGAAAACAGGACAGAGCAGGCACCTAATTCCTATTCCCCCCAGAGCTCGTGGGCTTGCTCAGTCAGGGCAGGTGGTTGGTTCAGTCCTTGGCCAGCTCACTACCATTCACCTCAGTAGTAAAGTGTGTCAGTAGGCAGAGGGTCTGTGTCCTGAGCATAATTCCCCAACTCCACCACCAGGAGAAAACACATGCACCCAGCCACTCACTCAAAATCAACTAGAGGGAAATGACAAGTGTATAAGGGAGACCCAGAAGGCTTCTCAGCCAACCTCAGGAAGGATTGTAGGGAAATGACTGTAAGGCATCTCTATGAGACAAAATACTCAGAAAACCAGAAATCATCCATCGGACAAAAACGGCCATTTATACCTGGCATGGTAGTGCATGCCTTTGGGCCCAGCCCTTAGTGGGTGGAGACAGATCTCTCTGAGTTTGAGGCCAGCCTGGTATACATAACAAGTTCCAGACCAGCCAGGACTGCATAGTGAGACGCCTGCCTAAAACATCTCTTGGCCAGGGTCTAACTCGGTGATAGAGTACTAGTCTGTGGGAAGCCATGCGCTCCCTTCCCAACCACACACACCTTCCCAAGGGTTTTGTTGTTTGGTTGTGCATCTTGAGGAGGGAGGCAGAGGGACTCCTTTAGTTAGACTTGGCCTTCCTTGTGTAGGAGGGAAGAAGAGACAAGGAAGGACTCATTGTAGAGTGAGCCAGGGCACACAATTTGCCACACTTGTTGAACCTTCTCTAGAGTGACATGGACTTGAGTGTGCACAGACTCCCAGAGACCACAAGCCAAACAGCATTTCCCTCTCAGCCCCAAAGCAGTCCTCTTTAGCCAGGAAGTAGTACCTGCCCCATCCCCTGTACCATTTAGCACATCCCCTGCTGGGTGGGGTGGGGTTGTGGCAGACTCTCCCCTTTAATCCAGGCAGGCTTCAAACTCAGATCCCTGCCTCAGGCTCCAAAGTGTGGCAATGATAGTCACTGATCCTGACATCTATTAGACATGACCTTCTGATGGGTCTGACTTTATAGCCCACTGTGTGGACTCCAGCAGCCCTTGGGGATGGTCCAGCAGGGGTCATGACCTTTCTGTGGCAAGGGTCTTGCTGATGGGCTGGTTACCATGATACCTCCAGCCTTAGCCTCCCAGCTCTCTCAGGAAGCTAGCCTGGAAAAGGCCTTTGCTTTCAGCTCTGGGTAAGGGGTCACCCACGCACCCTGCCAGCATCAGAATGTGAATCCAGAGAGCTGGAGGGGAAGGCCTGGCCGCTCACAGCAGCTCTCAGTAACAGGCCAACATGTTCTCCAGGAACACACCAGGAAGCCTGTCCTCACCCAGTCAGGCCACTGAGCCAGGCACTATGGGGACACAGCATGTCCCAACAAGGCATCATTCCCACAGAGATGCTGCAGCTTGTCAAGGACAATGCTCTCACCTGCTTCTCTCTCTGAAGGCGTGGGTATCCCTAGGCCCTAAGAGGTCAGGACACCCTGAGGTTGCAGCTATGAGACAGCTTTGCACAGCAAATGAACAGAGTGGAGGGAGTTTGGTTATTTTACCAACTCCCCAAGTAAATACCGGGTCTCTGTAAATGAAACCTGAGCCAAGCCAAAGCTTTGTTTAAAAGCACAGTGCCTCTGAGTCTGTGGTCCCAGCACTGGGGAAGCCAAGACTGGAGGATCTCAAGTTCAGGACAGCCCAGGCTACATCAGAACTTGTTCCCAAAAACACAAAGAAGAAAAACAAACTCAAAGCTGAAGGGAGAAAAGTACAGACAGGCCCCATTGGGTTGTCCTGTGGTGAGCACATCTGACTCCTGCCAAATGCTCAGGGACAGGCACACAGTGTTATGCCAGGTTCATGGGACCCTCAGAGACCAACAGGAGACGACTCAATGCAATTGCAAGAGAGCTTTATTATGAGAGTGATCGAACTCGGGACCCAAGTCTCACCGACACAGCAGTAGAGAAGTGGGACGCCCAAGCTCTGAGTGAACAGGATTTTTAAAGGGAAAGTCTGTGAGCAGGGGGTTTCCATGGCAGCAAGCAGGGGGGCACAAGCCTTGGCATTACAGAATTGGGTGAAGTTTAGCAGGATGGGGTGACCTTTTCTGAGGCACACAATCACAATGGCTAAGGCATTTAATCACAATGGCTATTTTTCTAAACCACATCTGAAACATTGGGGAGAATTTTCCCACCCGATTCTCAACCGATCCCCATTGATTATTGCCAGGGAGTTTGTCTCTATTTTCTATGAAGCATTTATTCTGTTATATTTCCTGGAGGCTGTTGCTAGGAGAGTTAACTTTGTTTTCTGCCAGGTGTACATTCTGTGGTATTTCCTGGTTCCTGAATTCAGTTCCCAGTCAAAATCTTCATTTCAAAATAGAGTTATAGTCTGGCTAACTTAAACTCGTTAGGAAAGACTTTCAGGGCCTGAGAGGCAGAGGCACACCAGAATGAGGGAAGAGCCCAGCAGAGCCACATGAGCCACAGTCTCAAGCACTGCCCCTGCTGACCTCCCCTTTTCCTGGCAGATACTTTACTCACTCACTCACTTGCTGTTTTAAACAGACTCTGACTAGGTAGCCCTGGCTATCCTAGAACTCACTATGTAGAACAGGCTGGCCCTGAACTCACAGAGATCTGCCTGCTCCTGCTCCTGCCTCCTGAGTGCTGGGATTAAAGGTGTGTTTCACCATATTTTTTTGTAGCTAAACAGAGCTATGTAGCTCCCATTAGCCAGATACTTACAATCTAGGGTGACCTTGAACTTGTCACAGTCCTGTCTCAACT